CCTTCCTGGTCGTTGTGGTTGAATCTGTGTTTGAAATTCACTGCTCGACTGAGGGACCTTACAGATAATTGTATGTGTGGGTTACAGAGATGAGGTAGTCATTAAAAAATCATGTTTATTGCACACACAGTGAGTCCATGCAACTTATTATGTGACTTGTTAAGCATATTTTTATTCCTGAACTGATTTCGGCTTGCCATAACAAAGGTGTTGGATACTTATTGACTCAAGACATTTCAGCTTTTCATTTTTTATTAATTTGTAAAAATGTCTAAAAACATAATTCCACTTTGACATTATGGGGTATTGTGTGTAGGCCAGTAACGCACAATCTCAAATTCAGGCTGTACCACAACAAAATGTGGAAAAGGTCAAGGTGTGTGAATACTTTCTGAAGGCACTGTACCTAATGTGTGTGGTTTTGCCGAAAATGACTCTGTGCCATGTGTGTCATTTTAGCAGTGCCTTCCAGATTATCATATTCTTCTGATGCATTAGTTTATACTGTTTGAAACAACAACATTATTGAAATGGCATTGGCGACCGAGGAAAAACGAATGAATACAATTTAAGGCAAACAATAATGCAGGCACTAGGGATGGGGGTGTGAGCATTCTGTTCTGGGCAGATTAAATGCAGTCGTTGTTTGTGTGCGTCTGTAAGTTGTTGTTCGTATGTATAAGTTTGTATATGGAGTGAATTATTATAATTTATTTATTGAGATTTTTTTTTAACAACAACACCAATCTCCATCTGATCTCAAGGTCCCCCTCAGTCTCATGAGCACACAGTAACACACACCTCATTCCCTTCAAAACAGAGGGAATGCTGTCGCCACAGAAGGAGAACACTGCCGTAACTCAGGCGTTACCATGGAGAGTGTGCGGTTGCCAAGGCACTTGGAGACAGAACAGGGAGGGTCATCATTTATTCCTGTCAGCGGCACCGCGGGAGGTGAGGGGTGTAAGAAGGGGGAGGTAGGGAGGTAAGGAGGGGGAGGTAGGGAGGTAAGAAGGGGGAGGTAGGGGGGCATTAAGGTCCTGAGGGGCAGAGAGGAGAGAGACAATTTTATTTGTCAAAAAGGGGCACCTCTGGCTAGTTCGCCCCTCAGGACTGACCACCTACCCAGAGGCTAAAGACCACTCACTCTCACACACACAAATGTAGGAACATGTGTAGACACAGCTTTGGTTTCGTGAATTTTCAGGATTTTTTGGGCAGTAAAAATGTATTCCCATTCAAAATCCTATTAAACTTAACTCTACTGACTTTTCAAAACTGTTGTTTTCCTACCTTGTCAGGACATTCTGGTGACTTGTCAGCACATTGTGGTCATGATAATGTAGGAAAACATGTACGCACACACACTACTCAGCGCTGCTGTCATCTGCTATTGTTTATATACATGCACCCACTTTATTCTGTCGCTACAATTAATCCCACGCTAATAATGGGGGAAATATGTTAATTGCTGTTTTGAACACTTTGTAAATTCCAGATTGATTGCTGCATCTGACAATTTTGTTGCTAATTTCTTTCGCTCTGTCCCTCTCCCTATTTTTTCTCTTTTTATCGCCTCGTCTTTCTTTCCCTCTTCCCACTTTTTTCTCTCTCCCTCTCTCTCTCTTTCCCCATCTGTCTGTGTCTGTTGCCTCGTTTAGTAGCTCCCTCCATCCACACAGGCAATTACAGCCCTCATATTCACTCTGAGCTCTTCCCGTCAGAGAGCTTGGAAAGGTTAGCTATCAAATAGACATTAGTCTCAGTCTGTCTACCTCTCTACCTCTCCTCTCTATGCGTGAGTAAGGAGAGGAGGGACTGATTCCTTCTTTACTCTGTTCTGTTCAGCAGCAGACTGGGATGGATGGAGAGAGAGAGACACTCTCCACCGCTCTCTACCTTGCTGATACATTGGCCCCACGTCCCATCAGGTTACTCAGGACATCAAATATTCATGCTTGTTCTCTCTTCTTTCTTTTTGCCACTATTTTTATTCTTTAATTATTTGTCGGGGATGTGTTGTGGGAGGCTTAGAGGCTTAAAGTCTCCTTTGAAGGCCAAGAGATTGAGTAAGAGATAGAGAGGGTTAGATCTAAACATCCATTAGCCTGCGTTTTCCACTCAGTGTAAATGCAGCTCTAGTGTACCTAGCTACCTATTTATTCCCACTACATTACAGTCTAATGCTCTCTTCTCTGCTCTCTCCTCTCCCTCCCCTGGCACACCTAATCTTGCTACAAGGCCTAGGCTCATACCCAAGGCCTCCATCTCTCTCTTGCTCACGCGCTCTCTTTCTCTACCTCCCCTCTCTCTCCCCCTTTCTCGCTCTCTCCCTCCCTCTCTCCCCCCCCACCCCTTTCTCCCCCTCTCTCTGATCATGTGTAATTGTAGTCCTTTGTGGCCCAGGCTGAAGGTCAACATTGGGGGCCAGTCATAACTGGTGAGTGTTGGTCAAGACACACCATAGATAGATGGCTCTCTTTCCTTCTCTTCCCACCTCTCCTCTGCTTATCCTGCTGTTAACCTGTGCCCGCCAACCCCTGTCACCACCAATGCCATCAGTGTCACGGTAGCCTTTGTGTCTCCTCAGACCTTTGGCTTCAGATAACATTCTATCATTAGTGTGATTATCAAGAGAAAATTACTTTTAAAGTCCTTTTTCTAAAAATAAGAGGACTTGACTTCTCAAACCCACAACTGTGGTTGAGTAGTATCTGGAACCTTCTCTCAAAGCAGGGTAACCACCCACCTGAGAAAACGTTACTATCGGCGCAACTCGTCCTCTGCTCTGTTAAGCGGCCTCTGCGCTGTGCCGTAGTGGTTAATCTTATTTTGATATGCCGTGGCATGGACCTGGCTCCTCACAGAAGGAATGGGAATCTTCAGCATAGCAGGGCTGTGTGTTTTGGTCTGCTCTAGAGAGATACTTTCTCTGTTAAAAAACTCTTGTCCTCGGAAGGGAAATCTGGAAGCGTCTCAGTGAAAGTGTGATATATTTTCCTCCGCCGCAGCAGCGCGGCTCAGGAGGGCGATTTGGGCGTCTTTCAAGAATGTGACTGATGCAGAAAGACCAGAGGGACTTAGTTATACCAGAATGTACAGTTCTCACACAGTTGATTGTTTTGTATGGAGAGATCTTTGGCTTTCCTCCATGGTATTCCACAAGGAATGCTATATGGAATGATATTGAGCTCTCCTTCATGGAATATCATGAGGAATTATATATAGAACTATGGAATATCAGGTTTTTCCCTCATCAAGCTAATCTAGTCAGAAATCAATAACTCATTAAATGCAGTCCGTGTCAGAGATCTACTGTTTTGTTAAATGTCAGGCTTGGTGGGCCCACACAGAGCACTCTGCTCTCTCTCCCTGTACGGTAATAAACCTTTGATAATGCCCTTCCTTTAAGAAGACCTTTTGATTGCGTTAGGTAATCCATTTTTGATTAGAAGGTCTTAATGAGTCCTTATGGGTAGAATGGTGGTCATTAATGAATGGTTGAGATTGAGAGGGTGATGGTCTATCTTGCTCTCATGTGGGGTGTGTGGTTAGATAACAGAAAAAAACACTCAATGCTTTTTTTATTGAACCGTTATTTAACTAGGCATGTCAGTTAAGAACAAATTCTTATTTACAATGACGGCCTACCCAAGCCAAACCCTCCCCTAACCTGGACGACGATGGGCCAATTGTGCGCCGCCCTATGGGACACCCGATCACGGCCGGTTGTGATACAGCCTGGGATCGAACCCGGGTCTGTAGTGATGCCTCTAGCACTGCGATGAGGTGCCTCAGACCGTTGCGCCACTCGGCCCACCATACTTAACAATACAGTTGTCTCATTTCTCAAGTAGTTCTCCTTAATGAGAGATGAGAATTGTTGAATGTGTGTTTTAGGGGAAAAGGAGGCTAGTGGCCATGGCTTCACTTTACATGCGGTCACAGAACCCTGCCTGGACAGACTGCCTCAGCGGCTCACATCTAGGCTTTGCTCTCTCTCTCTCTCTCTCTCCTCTCTCATCTCTCTCTCCTCTGCTCTCTCTCTATTCTATCTCTGCTCTCTTCTATATTTTCCCCCCTTCTCTCTCTCTCTTCTTTTCCCTTCTTCTCTCCTGCTCTCTCTTTCGGGGGGGGGGTTTCTTTTTTTTCTTTTTCCCGGGGGGGGCTCGGTTTTTTTCTTTTCTTTTCCCCCCTTCCTTTTCCCTCTCTCTCTCTCTCTCCCCCCTTCTTTTCCCTCCTCTCTCCCCTCTCTCTCTCTCTCTCTCTGCCTGTCTGTTTGTCTATTGATTGTATGTGAGGGCTGAGGGTAGAGCTGATGGGAAGTGTGTAGGTGAATGCAAGAACTACTTTTAAAATGTACTTTCAGAGGAGCTGGCACCGGCACTGTAGCCTACACCTTTCCCACACACGTAAACAAACAACAAATATGTCTGTGAGTTACATAGAGGCAATGTTCTCTCTGTGGATTTTTTATGTTCCATTTCTTTCTTGCGTTTCTTTCCAGATCATCATCAGATATCGTCCAGGAGGATGCTGCTATTGGGATGACATATGTGACCTCATCTTTTCCCACCCCTGGAAAGATCAACCACCAAGAACAACAGCCTACATGGATGTGGTTGGCTGGTTCCAGTGATGGACAGGTGACCAGCCTGCCCTCTAGTCGCCCTCTCCTACTGTGACTCCCCTTCCCCCTCCCTCCCAGACGTGCAGCGTGCACCCCCGGTCGGAGACCCCCAACATCTCTGCCATGGTGACATAATCAGCAGCACAACATGTGGGAGAGCCAACATCATAAAACCGTCTCATTTCTATCTCCAGTAGCTGCTGCTGAAGCTGCTGCTGCTTCTCTAGCCTGTGGATTACCAACTACAACACTCAAAATAACAAGACGGACTTTGGACTGATTTACTTTCACTCTCCACCTAGTAGCCCTCGAGAGTGTTTTCTGGGTGTTACGGTTGGACGGTCAGTGAGGTCAGTCGTTGTGCGTGACGATGCTGGGATGCGTGTCCCGCTTGCGTCGGCTGGTCCGTCTCATCCGCCACCTCCCCCTCCAGACCTCCCTGCTCCTCCTCTTCCTCTTCTGCACCGTCAGCGTCTTCGTCTCCGCCTACTTCCTGTACGGCGTCAAACAGGAGCTCGAGCCCTCAGGAGAGGGCGTGGCCGGCGTCGAGGGGGCGTCGGCCATCTACGATGACCTGCGGGCGAGCCCGTCACGGCTACTCACGGTGCGGGCGGTGTCGGGGGGGCCTGCTGGTGGGGCAGAGGAGGGGCGAGGACAAACCCCTGTGGTGCTGGTGTTTGTAGAGAGCCAGTACTCTCAGCTGGGCCAGGAGATAGTCGCCATCCTGGAGTCTGGACGTTTCCACTACCGGACAGAGATCTCTCCGGGTAAAGGGGACATGCCCACATTAACGGATAAAGAGCGCGGGCGCTTCTTGCTAGTCATCTATGAGAACATCCTGAAATATGTAAACCTGGATGCCTGGAACCGAGAGCTGCTGGACAAGTACTGTGTGGAGTATGGAGTGGGCATCATCGGCTTCTTTAAGGTTAGAAACACCCTACTGGCTGTCTTTCACTCTATCTCCACCTCTCCAGCTGTCCATCTCTCTTTATCTATCTGTCTTCCCTAAGGAAATAGATCTCACTGTACTGGAGAGAATGTGAAAGAGCAGAGGTGGAGTGAGGAGTGGTACATGTAGGTAGGCAGGTAAGTGGGGTTGGGGATCAGCCTATCGGGGAGAGAGCGAGAGTTCATCTCAATGAAATCTCATCTGAAGAGATAGTCAGCTCCATCATCAATGTTGAACAGGAATGTGTGTTAATACCTCAGCGGGCATTGAGATAAATATTTTATTTTGTGTGGGCACATCCTCAGTGTGTGTGGGTGAGTGTTAACTTAATAACATTGTGTTTTCTCAGACGCCCACATGAGGGAGGGAGGGAGGGAGGGAGGGAGGGGGGAGAGCGAGAGCTAACAAGATTCTATGCCACATGATTGGAGGTTTTGCCTATTAAATGCAATACAACACATTTCCAACTGCAACGTTATGAATAGAATTGACTGGAATGGAATTGAAGTTGTAACGCTTTCCCCTCTTGATGTTGTCATTGATTTCCCTCCTGTAGGCCAATGAGAACAGCCTGCTGAGTGCCCAGCTCAAAGGATTCCCCCTCTTCCTCCACTCCAACCTGGGCCTGAAGGACTGCACTGTCAATCCCAAATCCCCCCTCCTCTTCATCACGCGCTCCGGCCAGCCCCTCCCCGGCCCACTGCCCGGGGACGACTGGACCGTCTTCCAGTCCAACCACTCCACCTACGAGCCCGTGCTCCTGGCCAAGACCCAGTCCGCCGAGAGTGTCCCCTCGCTGGGTACGACGGCCACGCTGCTCCCCTCCGTTGTGCAGGACCTGGGGCTCCACGACGGCATCCAGAGGGTTCTGTTTGGGAACAACCTCAACTTCTGGCTGCACAAGCTGGTGTTTGTGGACGCCGTGGGCTTCCTGTCGGGGAAGAGGCTGTCTCTCTCCCTGGAGCGACACCTACTGGTCGATATAGATGACATCTTTGTGGGGAAGGAGGGGACCAGGATGAAGGTGAAGGATGTCAAGGTGATACATACTTGGAAAATAGAAAATGTCAATTTCCAATGTTTCGGACTTCGAGACCTTGTAATTATGTTACATAATATGTTTTTAATGAAGCATTATTCACTAGACAGTTGGGTTGGTACAGCACACGAAAGGCATCTTGCCATTCCTAGTATTATATTGAACTTCACATTTTTTAACCTCTCAGTATGCTGACTCAGATGACAGATAATTGGTTAAAATAAATGGATAATAGGATGATAGATGTAATTGTGTTGTTAGATTTCAGTGCAGCCTTTGATATTATTGATCATAAATTGTTATTGAAGAAACTCACTTGCTATGGCTTTACATCACCTACCATCACATGGTTGGAGAGTTATTTATCCAATAGAACCCAGAGAGTGTTCTTCAATGGAAGCTTTTCTCACATCAGATACAGTGCGGTGTCCCTCAAGGCAGTTGCGTGGGCCGTTACTCTTCTCAATTTGTACAAATGATTTGCCACAGGTCTTACATAAAGCTAGAATGACTATGTATGCTGATGATTCCACACTCTACATGTCAGCACCCAAAGCCAGTGAGCTCACTGAAATGTTAAATAAGGAGTTACAGTCAGTATCAGAATGGCTGATCAATAATAAACTGGTCTTAAATACACCTAAAACTAAAAGCATTGTATTTGGTTCAAAACATTCTCTAAGACCTAAACCTCAACTGGAGATGTGTATAAAGGGTGACCATTGAGGAAGTTAAGGAAGTGAATCTCCTAGGTATAACAGATCGCATGGAACTCCCTTCCATCTTCAATTACTCAAGCAAACATTTAAACTTACCTTAAAAAAAATATTGAACAACATCTCATGGAACGGCGGGGACTGTGAGGGGACACACACACAAACAAACACGCACACACACACACTAAAGGTGTCAGCATGCTTCAGTTCGGCTGGCGCCTAGCCGAACTTGGCGAGCCGAACCGAATGCGCTAGAAAAATGATAAATTAAGCGGCAATAGTACTGTTTGTCCATTTTGAAACGCTGTAGCTAGTATTCACTTTCTCAAAATAGTCCGAATTAATCTAAGATAACTCAAGAAGACGTTCTTGCGGAGGAGATCTTAGTCGCGCAATTTGACATCTAACTAAGCTGTTTGGTGTAGTACACTACATTACCAAAAGTATGTGGACACCTGCTCGTCGAACATCTCATTCCAAAATCATGGGCATTAACATGGAGTTGGTCCTCCCTTTGCTGCTATAACAGCATCCACTCTTCTGGGAAGGCTTTCCACTAGATGTTGGAACATTGCTGCGGGGACTTGCTTCCATTCAGCCACGAGCATTAGTGAGATCGGGCACTGATGTTGGGCGATTAGGCCTGGCTCGCAGTCGGCGTTCCAATTCATCCTAAAGGTGTTCGATGGGGTTGAGGTCAGGGCTCTGTGCAGGCCAGTTAAGTTCTTCCACACCGATCTCGACATACCATTTCTGTATGGACCTTGCTTTGTGCACGGGGGTATTGTCATGCTGAAACAGTAAAGGGCCTTCCCCAAACTGTTGCCACAAAGTTAGAAGCACAGAATCGTCTAGAATGTCATTGTATGCTGTAGCGTTAAGATTTCTCTTCACTGGAACTAAGGGGCCTAGCCCGAATCATGAAAAACAGCCCCAGACCATTATCCCTCCTCCACCAAACTTAACAGTTGGCACTATGCATCCGGGCAGGTAGTGTTCTCTTGGCATCCGCCAAACCCAGATTCGTCCATCAGACTGCCAGATGGTGAAGCGAGATTCATTACTCCAGAGAATGCGTTTCCACTGCTCCAGAGTCCAATGGCGGCAAGCTTTACACCACTCCAGCCGACGCTTGGCATTGCGCATGGTGATCTTAGGCTTGAGGCGGGCTGCTCGGTCATGGAAACCCATTTCATGAAGCTCCAGATTAACAGTTATTGTGCTGATGTTGCTTCCAGAGGCAATTTGGAACTCGGTAGTGAGTGTTGCAAACGAGGACAGATTTTTATCCACTACGTGCTTCAGCACTCAGCGGTCCCGTTCTGTGAGCTTGTGTGGCCTACCTACCACTTTGCGGCTGAGCCGTTGTTGCTCCTGTTTCCACTTCACAATAACAGCACTTACAGTTGACCGGGGCAGCTCTAGCAGGTCAGCAATTTGACGAACTGACTTGTTGGAAAGGTGGCATCCTATGACGGTGACATGTTGAAAGTCACTGAGCTCTTCAGGCCATTCTACTGCCAATGTTTGTCTATGGAGATTGCATGGCAGTGTGCTTAATTGTATACACCTGTTCCGCAACGGGTGTGGCTGAAATAGCCGAATCCACTAATTTGAAGGGGTGTCCACATACTTTTGTATATATTGTGTATTTCTCAATGAAAAAAAGTGCATGAAGACGAGTCGTCTCCCGTTGAATGACAACAAAGACTTTATTGAATAATCCGTACTGTTGTCCAATCACCGACGAAGGGCCATAGATTTTGGCTTAGTTCCAGAAAAGATGTTGTGCACGAACAGCGGAAAAAACGTCACCGAAGCCCAAAACGAACAAAAACTTCACAAAACGTTGTCATAATATATGCACAAACTCTTCCGAACTGTTTAGGCTGGGAAGCATGTGAATGCCTGTACACACACATAATGTTTTGTTGTTGTATTGTTTGTATTATTATTTTTATTATTTTATTTTTTAGATATCGTTGTATTTTAAATTTGTGTGACTGTCCTTGTCTATCAGTGTTTTGTTACTTGTCATGTTTTGTGTTTTTTTGTGGACCCAAGGAAGAATAGCTGCTGCCTCTGCAGAAGCTAATGGGCATCCAAATAAACAAACAGAGTTGACAGGATACAGCGTTCCGATAGAGAAACACACACACACTCTCAAGAGCCATAGCCATGAATATTTCCATACATACAGAATAGCAGGACCTTTTCGTTTATCTGTATCTTTCTGTGTGTGTCCCATCAGAGTTGGGCTGCTTCCTGACATGAGCTGGGGTAGAGAAGTATATCAAAGTGTTGAGAATAAATCACGCTCTGACAAGGCAGGAGAGACAGAGGGAGACGGGGAGAAAGTGAGAGAGGGAGATGTGAGTGGATTCATATACAGTCCGGAGGTCAAATGAAACAAACACTCAAATCAGAGGAGAGCTAGAACGAAGGAGAGAAAAGGCAACCGGGGGTGGATGAGGATGTATAAACTCAGCTGTGTGTGTGTGCCTGTGTGTGTGTGTGTGTGCTTGCATGCGCGCATGCGGGTGTGTATTGCCCTGCTCACCTTCCCTCTCCTCTCTGAGTCAGGCCCTGTTGGAGACGCAGAGAGCGCTGCGTAACAATGTTCCCAACTTCACCTTCAACCTGGGCTTCTCAGGGAAGTTTTTCCATGCAGGTAATTCGGCTCGGAGAACACAGCATCACACTCATACAGTACCTGCTTTGTGTACTGAAGCTTATTACTGATAGCATCACAGTTTATACTCCAGTACTCCTTGGATTATCACCAGAAATCATCGTTAACCTACCCTTGTCCATTCCCTGCCAACCTCCTTTCTTTGCCCATTTCGTTTTTCCTATTCTCTCTGTGCTCCACTGTCCTCCTCCTGTCCTCTCCTTCTTCTACTATTCCTATTCTCCCTCCCCCCTCCTCCCTTCGTCTCCAGGGTCAGATGAGGAGGACCTGGGGGATGACCTGCTCCTCTCCTACGTCAAGGAGTTCTGGTGGTTCCCCCACATGTGGAGCCACATGCAGCCCCACCTTTTCCACAACCAGTCAGTGCTAGCTGAACAGATGCTGCTCAACAAGAGGTTCGCTATGGTGAGTCTGTCTGTCTGGAGGCTAGCAGTGGGATGCTAGCAATTAGCCCACCTCACTGTGTTGCTCCTAATTAGAAATGCTAACTTTAGCTTAACACAGCTAGCGCCACTGATTTTTATTGTTATTCCTTCTTCTCCCTACCTACCTCATATTTCTCTCTCTCTCTCTCTCTCTCTCTCTCTCTCTCCTCTCTCTCTCTCTCGCGCTCTCTCTCTTGCGCTCTCTCTGTCCTCTCCTCTTCACACTCACCCCCCTCCATCTCCCCCTCCCTCCCTCTCTCTCTAGGAGCACGGTATCCCCACTAACATGGGCTATGCAGTAGCCCCCCACCACTCGGGTGTGTACCCAGTCCACCTCCAGCTGTACGATGCCTGGAAGAAGGTGTGGGGCATCAAGGTGACCAGCACGGAGGAGTACCCCCACCTCAAACCTGCCCGCTTCAGACGGGATTCATACACAGCGGTATCAGCGTGAGTCACAGAACCCTTACCGACGGTTACACACTCTCTCTCTCTCTCTCTCTCTCTCGGCATATCTCCTCTCTCTATCTCTCTCTCTCTCTCTCTCTCTCTCTTCCTCATCTCTCTCAGATAGGTCTACCTCTCTGACTGCCCTACTCCTACTCTCTGACAGTAAACTCTCAGACTCTCCTAGCATTCTCTCCCACTCCAGTCCAGGTCATATGTGTCCTCTTTCCTTTCCTCTACCTCTTCTGTGTTTGCAGAATTTCATATAGACTCAGAGTGAATGAGGTTTGCTTTGCCCAAATGAGAATAATAATATGAAGATTATTGAACACAAAAGTGGTGATACAGCCTGATATGTTTTGCATTGACTAGACCAGTGGGGCTGGCGTGTGTGTGTGCTTGTGTGTGTCATTGTCTTAGAAGTGTGTGTATGTTTGCAGGTCTTGCCCAGACAGACGTGTGGTCTGTTCACACACACCATCTTCTATAAGGAGTACCCAGGCGGTCCCAACGAGCTGGACAAACTCATCAACGGGGGAGAGCTGTTCCTCACTGTCCTACTCAACCCAGTGAGTTAACACACACACGAACTCTCTTTCTCTCTCCATACATTCAATCACTACTCACACAATCAGAGTGAATTTAAGTTAACCTGTCTGTCTTTCTCTCTCCCTTTTCCCTCATCCATCTCTCCTCCTCCTCCAGATCAGTATCTTCATGACCCACCTGTCTAACTACGGTAACGACCGGCTGGGCCTTTACACCTTCAAGAGCCTGGTGGCCTTCCTGCAGACGTGGACCAATCTGCGGCTACAGACCCTGCCTCCCATCCAGCTTGCTCACAGATACTATACCCTCTTCCCTAACGAGAAAGACCCACTCTGGCAGGTCAGTCTGTGGGGGAGAGAGAGAGAGAGACTGGCTGGAACTGGATGTGTGCATTGACTAATACTGGGATGTTAAAGGGGTGTTCCACTCAAAATACAACCTAACATGATAACTGTCTTAGGGAATCAGCTACATCCAAGGTAAGTAGGAATATCATGTTAGGTTGTATTTTGCATGGATCATCCCTTGATGAATTTATTCAGGTTAGTCTCATTTAGATATAATTTATTTAACAAGAGTCCTGGTTGGACCCTTGTCCTGTACACCACAATCTGTTGCCAATAATTGTTTGTGTGTTCAAAGGGCATCTCCATTGATCGTTCCAATATGTAGCCATATGTCCTCAGGATGTTGTATGGATGGATTTGTTCAGGGTTCATTCAGCAACTGGATACATTTTCTACAATTTCTAATGATCTTCATAAACCCTGGTCCTACAGGATCCCTGCGAGGACAAAAGGCACAAGGACATCTGGTCAAAGGAGAAAACATGTGACCACTTCCCCAAGCTGCTTGTCATTGGGCCTCAGAAAACAGGTGAGAGAGACGGAACCCCAGCACCCCCCAGTGGGCATCACCAGCAATGACTCTCAGTCCACAATCTTACTTTGCTTTATTTCACCTCGTTTCTGATTCATTTCCTTACATTTACAATAGTTAGAGTTGAGAGGTCTTTGGTCTGGTCTGTAGGAGGGAGGTTTCGAGACTTTGGGCTGAAGAGGAGGTGTCGTTCTTTCAGTGTTACACACTCTCAGTACAGAACAGACTAACAGGAACTGGCCTGTCACAGATGACCGACTGACTCTCTCTCCTCCACAGAGAAAGCAGAAGGAAGTTTATGAGGAACGCACACTCACAGACACTAATGGGAATGGGACACTAACAAGACAATTTATTAGATTATTAGTCGTTATGGCTGCAGCAAGGTGCTTCAAAGTCAATTTGTCAATGCCTCAAAATAGATTCTCACTTCCCTTCCTCCCCTCCCTCCCTCCCCCTCCCTCCCTCCCTCCCACCCTCCCTCGCTCTCTCTCTCTCCCTCTCTCTCTCTCCCTCCCTCCCTCCTCTCCACAGGTTCTACAGCCCTCTATCTGTTCCTGGGCATGCACCCTGACCTGACCAGTAACTACCCCAACAAGGAGACCTTTGAGGAGATCCAGTTCTTCAATGGACACAACTACCACAGAGGCATCGACTGGTACGACTGACACAGAGAATGAGCTCTGGGCCCGTATTCATAAAGCGTGCTAATCTAAGATCAGGTCCCCACGGTCCATGTAATTGTATTCATTATGATCTAAAAGGCAAAACTGATCCTAGCTCAGCACTCTTTATGAATATGGGCCCTGTTCTGTTCTAGCTGCACAGACAGAATTACAATAAGCAGGATTATCGCAAAGTGAATGACAATTTAGAGGCGGTTGCACAGACCCAGACAATGTCTAGAGACTTCCCATTAAACATGCTTTCTAGTCCAGGAGTTGGCTTAATATGTGTTTCTGTCAGTATACTGTCAGTGTATAATTTAGTTAGTGTATCTGTTTTCTCTTTTGGTGACCACACAGGTACATGGAGTACTTCCCCTTGCCATCCAACACCAGCTCAGACTACTACTTTGAGAAAAGTGCCAGCTACTTTGACTCAGAGGTGGCAGCGGAGCGGGCGGCCGCCCTCCTGCCCAAGGCCAAGATCATCACCATCCTCATCAACCCAGCCGACCGCGCTTACTCCTGGTACCAGGTTGGTTATAACTCTTTATAATGTATGAGACATAACTATTCCTCCTTATTTACCATGTAATATCCAATCCTGTTACCAAGCCTTAGAACTGCTTATAACTGTTATAATTGATAGTAATATATGAGTAGTTAGGCCTTGTTGCTCTTGTTATTACTGTGTTATAACCACTCTTGTTACGAGGTCAGTTATACCTCATCGGGCACCATATTACTGAGGACCATATTCACACAACACCATTTCTTTCTCTGCTTCCCCTTAAAGCACCAGCGTGCCCATGACGACCCAGTGGCTCTGAAGTACTCCTTCCATGATGTCATCACGGCTACCCATGATTCCCCGGTAAACCTACGTGTGCTCCAGAACCGCTGTCTGGTGCCAGGCTGGTATGCCATCCACATGGAGCGCTGGCTCAACCACTACCACTCCAGCCAGGTCCTGGTTCTGGACGGGCAGCAGCTGAAGACTGAGCCGGCCTCAGTCATGGACAGGATCCAGAAGTTTCTGGGCCTGGTCAACATCGTCAACTACCACAATATCCTAGCGTGAGGTTTCAAGTTCTCTCCAGCAACACATAGCAGCTACCTAACCATTCATAAAAATCATTCAGTAACTGATTCCAAGAGACCCAGCTGTACATTTAGGTACGTTTACAAAATGTTCTGATTTTCTTCAGGTTTGACCCCAAGAAAGGTTTCTGGTGTCAGCTACTGGTGGGAGGGAAGACCAAGTGTCTGGGGAAGAGCAAGGGGCGTAGGTACCCTGACATGGACCCAGAGGTAAGAGTTCTCATTTGCCAATACAAGTTGTTCACTGATATTTGCTTAATGAAGATACATGTTTGTAAACTACCCCTAGGGTTATTCTGCTTGTAACTGATAAGGGGTGTTTATTGATTGAATATTGGCTGTGGTGGTAATTATCCTACCTTCTCTCTCCCTAAATCACTCCTATTGCTCACTGTTTCTCTCTCTCTCTCTCTCTCTCTCTCTCTCTCTCTCTCTCTCTCTCTCTCTCTCTCTCTCTCTCTCTCTGTCTCTGTCTCTGTCTCTGTCTCTGTCTCTGTCTCTGTCTCTGTCTCTGTCTCTGTCTCTGTCTCTGTCTCTCTCTCTCTCTCTCTCTCTCTCTCTCTGTCTCTGTCTCTCTCTGTCTCTCTCTCTCTCTCTCTCTCTCTCTCTCTCTTCTCCAGTCCCAGTCGTTCCTCAGGGAGCACTACAGGAGTCACAACATAGAGCTGTCTAAACTGCTGTACAGGATGGGCCAGCCCCTGCCCAGCTGGCTCCGAGAGCAACTGATCCATACCAGGTAGAAGTACCAGCGGGGGGGGGACAGCTCAGCGGACTGTCAGCACAGCTCAACCATCCCCCTGACAGAATACCATATGGAGGAGTATGATTCTATCCCCTTAGCGGATTATTTAAATCCCTTAAAGAATCCATAAGGGTTAAGTACTCACCCTTGACGAGGCTCAGAAGGGGTGTGTTTTCTGATCACCTGTCAAAATGAAGATTAGGATGCACAAGCCTCCTTCTCAGGGTGCCCTTCATAAGAGGGAAGGACATGGAGGAAGTGAGAGCAGGGATGGTGATTTACGAGTGGGCAGTGAGTCTACAATGGCCTGCCGCCTAAGTGCTCTCCTCTCGCTCCCCAAGTTGTACCTCCCCATGAAACACCACCACCGTCACTTGGTACGGTCTAGGAACAGAGATCCCCAACAGGACTACACCACCTCTTACGGGGGTTTAAGGTGCCGATGGAGACGAGGGGGTGGTCAACCCTTTTCCGCTCATCCTTTGACTATCCCCTGCCTTACTCACATGGACTCAGACCTTACTCTTAGGAGGATGAGGAGGATGAAGAGGAAAATGGAGACTTGTCTAGCCTGTACAGTACCAGTCGTTAAGGCTGGGCGGAAATGAACAGTGTCAGCTTGCGTCAGTCAATACCATCTATTGAAAGACACAACAAACTGCCATCCTAGAAATTAGAAGATGAATTTTAATAAAGTAATGACGAAACAATGGCAGATATTACAAAAGAGTAGAGATCAATTAGTACTTGAATGAATGAAAAATGAATGGCATTAGTTGAAAATGCCTGTGGTCTCTGTCTAAAAACCATGGGAGGGATATGTTGTGTATTGACTCAGGCTACAGGTGTGATGTAGTCTTATTCACTAGGCCTTTGTAGACACTAGACATTAACGCATTTACCAGTGTCAGGACAGAATCAGCACCACTACATTGCATGGCCTATTGACAGTTCTTATTTTTTTAAGATTGTGACTATTATTTATTTCTTTTTGTTTATTTTTTTTACTTTGGAGACACGTTATTGTAGAATTGACCAGAAAGACATTTTGCCACTCTCCGTTTCGGATGGAGTCGATTGCACAGCACAGGGAGTGCCAGGCCGCACATGTTAAAAGCACAATATGCAAAGTGGTACATCTCATAAATAGACTGATTCTTTACAGATACACACAGGTTCTTATTAACCCCTATGAGCAAAACACGTTGAAAATAAGTATTTTGGGTTGAAAAGATGTTGAAAAGATGTATTTTTAACATCTTACGCTCACTGGGACAGGTTGTCTGAAAGCACAGTCATAAAACCTATACTACAGCATTTGAAGTTGGACATAAGCTATGTTTAAATGCACTCATGGAGATAGAGAATGAGAAAAGAGGAACAATATTTTTATTGAGGATGTCGTCAAAGCTGTGTATATTTTTGTCCTTTTGTTCTATTTCATTTGTTATTAGCAGTTGTTCATAGTATTTCTGCATTGCATCAGGGAGGATATAAAATATTCACATCTAACATAGTCAGTATGAGCCTATAGGTACAGTTTAGTTTAGTTTAGGTTTTACCACTGCAAGCATAGATAACAAAAAGCTGCTCTTACTGTCTGCAATTGTTTTGTACAATGTTGTCAGTCGTAATAACAATGCACATTCATTTCCTGACTCTGTAATGGAATAGACATAAGATATTGCATGTGATTGAGGTGACATTCTTTCAGCCCCCTCTCACAATGCAAGGAGAGAGGTATTCAGTGGGGGAGAATCGGCCAGGTAGTATTGAAATATAACTACAATGGGTGATAATATAGTGCCATCTGCTAAAGTTCAAACAGCTCTCCTTCTTTCTATCTGTTCATACAATCATCTCTCCCTTCTCATCTATCCTCACACTGTTGTACAGAGCTCCTTGATTTCTTTATATAAAGTATTATTGACATGTTAATAACGCATAACAACAGCAATGATGGTACTAATCTCCCTGAACTGTACGATAAAGAATTGTTGTCAATAATTTTTACAGTGTAACTAATATTGTCGATGCTTTTTAATTTGCAAATAAAACACCACTGTATTTTTGTCTCATTGGTAAATTTGCTCGTCTTTCCCTTCTGAGTCCCCAATCTCTGTCTCTGAATGTTTGATACTGAAGGGTTGTTTTCAGATAACAACTCTATCATTTGGAAAGGAGAAGCAGATTACAGCTCAAACAAAGTATGTCTTGGTATTTGAGAAGACCGAGATTAGAACAGTCTCATGAGGGCAAGTATGAGGAAATTAACAATGAGGAAACTCACTAGTAGGACCTGGTGGTTTTTCAGTGTGTTCACATTTATTCCCTGCTTATTTTACATTTTACATTTACATTTTAGTCATTTAGCAGACGCTCTTATCCAGAGCGACTTACAGGAGCAATTAGGGTTAAGTGCCTTGCTCAAGGGCACATCGACAGATTTTTCACCTAGTCGGCTCGGGGATTAGAACCAGCGACCTTTCGGTTACTGGCACAACGCTCTTAACCACTAAGCTACCTGCCGCCCCATTTTATAAACATAATCTTATAAAAGTTTCAGTTTTATAGTATTAGTTTTCTGGTTTCAGTTTGTAGCTGTGTATAAAATCAGTACAGATATCCAGCGCCAGACTGACTGAGTCTAAACTGGCTGTATTGAGCCTTTTTTGTCCTCACATGATGATCTGATTTATCTTGACAGCATCTTCTGTGGTGGGGGGGGGGGGGGGGGGGGTGTTCTTAAATTTTTCAGCATTTATCTCATCACTGCTTCCTTAAAAGGAAAATCCCTGATCCACAGTTCTATGGAATGGCCTATGATCAGTTTACAGAAGGAGAAAAAAAGCCTTCAAGCCATCCAATGAGAATAGCACTTTATAAGATGACAATGTTGTCTCTGGGGTGAAAGGTTTCAAACATATTGTGTCATTAGCACTTTATAAGATGACAATGTTGTCTCTGGGGTGAAAGGTTTCAAACATATTGTGTCATTATCAACTTTAAGATCATAAATGTCCACTAACCTTTCCTTTTGCAATACTGCAGCTTCAAAAGTATCTCTATCCTATTTCAGGATAGAATCAAGGATAAAAGACAGATGTTATTTTTTTATATCTATATATTATTTCCTCCTGAAAATAAGAGAAGCAAAATATTGCACTGGTGCAAACCTCTGTCCATAAGTATTCTTTCTATTCAATATTTTAGCAAATAAATCCCATATAATTATTGGGACAGTTTAAGTACAGGGCTAGATAAACACTGGAGTATCCAGTTTAAATTTAGGACCCATTCCAGAATGAATTATGATCTGAAGACCATTTATGACCATTTCAAATGGGATGTTAATTTGAATTTTAAAATATGAGGGATTTTCTAACAACTATTAATGCTGTGGGAAATTCAACTACTTTCTTTTCATCCGTTCAGATTTGTCTGCCTCCATCAACAAGTGATGCAGGGCAGGTTGACCAATCAAGGCTTAGAATAAACTCCTCAACAATGTAATTGAACCTGCCCACCACCTTCTTGACTCGGGGCTTTCCATTTAATTCCAGACTAGACCATCGTTCTATTCATTTCAGCCCGATACTTTTCTCCGAATAGATCCCTTCCTCTTTTACTATACTATTAAATCGTTGCGTTTGTCGGACACAGACTAGATTTGATTTGAGAGAACTTGGACGCAGAGAATGGAGGAGCAACAGCAACATGCAGATGCGCTCCTTGAGCGCTCGGGGAGCCAGGATGTGATCCTCCCAATGACAGCCACAAGAGGGTGAGACACATTTATTGTGATTTTACTAAATAAATGAGATTTTATAGATTTTGCAGTTAAACCGGTAAACGTTCCTTTTACCAATAGGGTCAGTGTTTCTTTATCTCCCAAATTAAGATTCAAGTATGTGTCAACTCAAATTATTTTATTATGATAAATATATATTAAAAAGTATATATACTAAATAATATTTGGAAAATCTTTAAACAGGTGTAATATTTTATGTTAAAGGTTACAACTGGTAGGCTATGCTATGCTATTCTGAACTCACATCATTATTGAAAGTATGCACAAATTATATTGAACATGCAGTAACGACATGTGATTTCATGTCTTTTTCAGCATTACATTCCCAAAGTTTTGATCATAGTCATTGTTGAGGAACTATAATAAAACATTTGAGTTATCTGATTAGGGTGACTGTCCCCATACTTTCACACTTATCTATACACTCAGATAAAGCCTCAGCCTAGCAACTAGTGATGTCACACAAATCTGCATTAATCATTGGCTCAGGAATGAAGAACAGAAAACGGTGTTGAATATTTTCATTCTAAAAAGGGGGGGGGGGGGGGGGTACTTCTTTGTTGAATAACAACTGGTTTAGGATTCGTTTTTGACTCTGGACCAGGGCTCTGATTAGTTGTTTTTTGGAGGAGCAGGGATCTCACATAAAACCAGGGCAAACCCAAAAACGTCAGAACTGCAATTATGGACATCCTCATACCGCTTTGAAAATAGCATTGAACATTTTTAATCCAGTCCCCATGAGTCAAGGTGTAATCTCTCTATATCTCTCTTTCCCTCCCGCCCTCCTGCAGGGCTTCTAACAGCCGTGCCTTTAAGATCGCAGGGTTCACGGTGTTGGCCTGTCTTCTCCTGGCTGGCCAGGCCCTCACTGCCTACATGGTCTTCAACCAGAGGGGCCAGATCCACGACATGGAGAAGACCAATGACAACATGCGCAAGCAGCTGAGAAACAGACCTCCAGGTATGGGAGGGGGGAAGGAAAGGGGAGGAGAGGTAGGAACAAGGAAGGAAGGAGTGGTGTTGATGTAGGTCGAGTGGGTGGTCAAAGGAGAGGGAAGTGAGATATACTTATTTAGGAAGAGAGACTGGGGGGACTGGATAGAAAAGAGGAATAGAGGTACGTGGTTTATTCCACTGAAGTTCTGGAGGAGCTAGCTTTCTCCCAATTTGAAGTGTGCACTCATTGGTCTCTGTCACCCCCCTTTTGCTCCAGCTGTAGCCCCTGTCCAGATGCACATGCCCTTGTTCAACATGCCCCGGCTGATAGACTTCACTGAGGAGGACGCCAAGACAGAAAAGACTCCCATGACGGTATGACTCTCCTGTTTCCCAATTGCTTCTTCTTAGAGGCTTCTATAAACTATGGAAAAGCGGTCACTAAGCTCACTTGCAACTGTCAACTTGTGTTTAACTCCAATGAAATTGCATTGTAGATCTACCCCCTTAGGACTAAGCTCCCTCTTCCTGCTCCTTTGGGGGGGGAAAAAGAAACAAATATATGCGTATGATGAGTATTTATTGTCTGTCTGTCTCTCTGCTCTCCCATCAGAAACTGGAGGCCACTGCCATTGTGAGCCTGGAGAAGCAGGTGAAGGATCTGCTGCAGGTAAATTAATAAATACATGTTAATTAATTACTCCACTCTTTGCATTGAAGTCACCTCTACAAAAGACAGAGAAAGGTCAAATATTGACCATTGATTGATTGATCAATCATTTGATTGTCTGTTTTTATTAGAACCCCCAGCTGCCCCAGTTCAACGAGACGTTCCTGGCCAACCTGCAGAGCCTGAAGAGACAGATGGAGGAGGCAGAGTGGAAGGTGAGACTGAATCTTATGTGTCCCAAATGGCACCCTATTCTCTCTGTAGTGCACTCCTTTTGACCAGGGCCACAAGGCTCCGGTCAAAAGTTGTGCACTACCTGTTTATAGGGGCTAGGGCGCCATTTGGGACGTAACCTGAGAACATACACTTATAATAGGCAGGACAAACATATTTTGACGATTTCACATATATCATCAAAATCAATCAATTATAGCAAGGTTTTTTGGCTCATTCAGTAGTTTGACCTAATTAAGTAGATTCATGTTGAAAAATAATGTGAAAATAATAATTTATATTCCTAAAACATAAGTTGAAAATGATACTGTTGCTGCTTCCTGTTGTCATCGATTTTAAATGTATAGCCTAGTGTCAAAACATCGGTTTTAGATAATCAATGTGTTGAAATAAATTGTGATATGTTGAAGACGATACGTAAAAATTACTCCGTACATACACACTATTCACACTTGTGTTCAGATAACTTGTATTCTGCTAAATTAGTACCTTATAAACTGCTCATGCACCAATATTTACCAGGCGGTTACTCTAGACTGGAATTGATTAGTACTAAACCAAAGATATTTATCTGGTACAAGCAACCGAATTTGTAAGATCGTGATGAATATAAACTTTCATACTAGCACTACCAATCTTAGGTAAAAAGGTTTAAAAATGCTCCTAACCACAATTTAACCAGGCGCTCTAGACTAGAGCTTACAAAGTGACTGTGCAGCAGGCTGAATGTTTGATGTCTTTCCTTATAATATCCCATGAATATATATATATATATATATAACCCACACTTAGGCCTATCTTATTTGAACTTTAACCCCTAACTCCTGCCACTGTGTTTTCTGCAGGGTTTTGAGACTTGGGCACGTTATTGGCTGCTCTTCCAGATGGCCCAGGAGAAGCCCCCTGCACCCCCCACACCTCAGCCAGGTGAGTTTACCACAACCCCCACCATCACCACCACTAACTCCTCCTTACCCCCACCACTACCCACCAACCTTCACACCACCTTACGAATGCACAACTTCCTCTGTCTTGTCTCCCTCTCTCTTATTTCATCCACCACCTGAACCAAGTATTGAATAAAACTATTTTCTCTCCTCTTTTCTTTTGTCTTTCTCTCTCTTCTCTCTGTTCCTCAGCTGCCGGCCTGCAGACCAAGTGTAACCTGGACAAGTCGTCCCACAGACGTAAGCTTGGTGCCTACCTCCCTCAGTGTGACCAGCAGGGCAACTACCTGCCCATGCAGTGCTGGCACGCCACCGGCTTCTGCTGGTGTGTGGACAAGAACGGCACACCCATCGAGGGCACCAGCATGCGCGGCAGAGTCTCCTGTGACGGAGGTAGGAACTAGGCAGACAGTCTATACAGCATTAATGACCTCCGTGTCCATTCAATAGCTTTTTTGTGCATTCTGCAGTCTATAACAAAGCTCATTTGCTCACTATTACACATGCCATGGTATATCTATGCAGTTGTATGTACATATAGATAGTGACTATTTTTGTCTCATGCTACTGTTTGTTCCCCACAGTCCCCAGACAGATGTTAGCTTTACCCAGGATGATGCAGCTGAAGAAGAACACGGGTGAGTGTTTCACAAACAAACAGAAAGAGAGGGAAAGAAAGAAAGAAAGAAAGAAAGAAAGAAAGAAAGAAAGAAAGAAAGAAAGAAAGAGAGAAAGAAAGAAAGAAAGAAAGTCAATAACAAACGGACCGAGAGATACATAGACAACACTTTTGATTACATGGAATTAAAAGTGTTGTCTCTCTGTTTTATCTTTACACTGTGTACTGTTCATCTGAATAAATTGCAAGATGGTTTCGTACATAAGGTTGATTCTATTCTCTATATTTTGCAGATGAGTAAAACCACAGCTCCACCAGAGCACCAGATGGCCTGCTCTCTCCTCATCTCACTGTCAGACCCCCCCCCCCCCCCCCCCCCCCCCCCCCCCCTGTTTCCTACTAATGGCTATTTCACTCTTCCTCTATCATGATGAAGGTCAATTACCTGAAATACAAAACAATGAAATACTCTCTTTTGATTTATGGATAATTATATTTTTCTTTGGACAGTATAAATGCTATTAACATTATTAACAGCTTTTTTGGCTTATTAACTCAACACAGCTATGTAAAGTATTAACACACATATATATATATATAAGATGTGTGTTACATTTTAAAACATGCACAACACCCAGACTTTTCCATCCCCTGACCCCCTGACCCCACTCCTGTCAACTTTGACCCCTAGTGCCTTACTCTGGCCCTCAAATCATATCCCTCTGATGGGGGCTAGCCCCACCCTGTTTCCCTGGTCTGTCTCTCCCCATAGACTGCCATAGGGCTTCGTTGATAAGCTTCTGTCTAGAGTTTCTAACATAGATGTAACGTTTTACACCTGTATAACCATGGATAAGCATACTTGGACTTTAATGAATGTAGGGAGAAGTGAACCAGAAAAAAATTAATAAAGTGTGCCGTTTCCTACTAAAATGTGCTTTTTTGTAACTCTCTTATTGTGCATTAATCTCTTGAGGACAGACTACTTAAACGGTACCATCTGACCAGAGATTTTAGTTCTGAGATTAATTGTACATAGAATCTACCCACCACAAAATAACAACTAGTGTAAAATGAATCACCATAACAAGACTGCAGATCAGGGGTTATGATATTGGTTAGGAGTAGGCTATAGTATGATGAAATTAACTCTGATGACACATCATCAGTTTTGCTTTTCCCTCCATTAATGGTAAAGTTAGGTTTGGGGGAGGGTAAGCTGATCCTAGATCTGTGTGCAGAACATCTATACTAAGATGGTGGTTACTGAAGAACATTACTTTGTAAAGCACAACATTTTGCTGTAGGGTGGCATGCCTCTATGTATGATGATGACGGTAATACAATGTGCTCCTTGGCAGAGGGTGTATAATTCTTTGTAAATGACATACACTACATGACCAAAAGTATGTGGACACCTGCTCGTCGAACATCTCATTCCAAAATCATTGGCATTAATATGGAGTTGGTCCCCCCTTTGCTGCTATAACAACCTCCACTCTTCTGGGAAGGCTTTCCACTAGATGTTGGAACATCGCTGTGGGGACTTGCTTCCATTCAGCCAAGAGCATTAGTGAGGTTGGGCACTGATGTTGGGGGATTAGGCCTGGCTCACAGTCGGCGTTCCAATTCATCCTAAAGGTGTTTGATGGGGTTGAGGTCAGGGCTCTGTGCAGACCAGTCAATTTCTTCCACACAGATCTCGACAAACCATTTCTGTATGCACCTCGCTTCGTGCACAGGGGCATTGTCATGCTGAAACAGGAAAGGGCCTTCCCCAAAATGTTGCCACAAAGTTGGATTCACAGAAGCGTCTAGAATGTCATTGTATGCTTTAGCGTTAGGATTTCCCTTCACTGGAACTAAGGGGCCTAGCCCAAACCATGAAAAACAGCCCCAGACCATTATTCCTCCTCCACCAAACTTTACAGTTGGCACTATGCATTCGGGCAGGTAGCGTTCTCCTGGCATCTGCCAAACCCATATTCTTCCATCGGACTGCCAGATGGTGAAGCGTGATTCATCACTCTAGAGAATGTGTTTCCACTGCTCCAGAGTCCAATGGCAGCGAGCTTTACACCACTCCAGCCGACGCTTGGCATTGCACATGGTGATCTTAGGCTTGTGTGCGGCTGCTTGGCCATGGGTCGGCTGGAGTGGTCGGCATTTCATGAAGCTCCCGACGAACAGTTCTTGTGCTGATGTTGCTTCCAGAGGCAGCTCGGAACTCGGTAGTGTTGCAACCGAGGACAGACAATTTTTACGCGCTACGCGCTTCAGCACTCGGCGGTCCTGTTCTATGAGCTTGTGTGGCCTACCACTTCGCAGCTGAGCCATTGTTGCACCTAGACGTTTCCACTTCACAATAACAGCACAGTTGACCTGGGAAGCTCTAGCAGGTCAGAAATTTGATGAACTGACTTGTTGGAAAAGTGGCATCCTATGACGGTGCCATGTTGAAAGTCATTGAGCTCTTCAGTAAGGCCATTCTACTACCATTGTTTGTCTATGGAGATTGCATGGCTGTGTGCTCAATTTTATAAACCTGTTTGAAGGGGTGTCCACATACTTTTGTATATATAGTGTATTGGCATTCAAGGTGCTTTATTCTATACTCCAGTCCTGATAGGGCTTAATATGGAAGATGAATAGAACATATGGGAAGAGCAACCACATCCTTAATATCTTATCTGCACCACTATTATCACTGTCATTCACATATGTGTTTAGTTGCCATAAATTAAAAAGAGGATGTTTTCCTGTTTACCTTTGACATTTGTAGGTTTTAGGTGAAAGCGGACCTTTAGTAAAATGGAAATGGAAGTTAAACTATCCCAAACTAACATGGTCCAAACACACCAAGACAGTTGTGAACAGGGCACGACAAAGCCTATTCCCCCTCAGGAGACTGAAAATATTTGGCATGGGTCCTCAGATCCTCAAAAAGTTCTACAGCTGCACCATCAAGAGCATCCTGACTGGTTGCATCACTGCCTGGTATGGCAACTGCTCGGCCTCCAACCACAAGGCACTACAGAGGGTAGTGCGTACGGCCAAGTGCATCACTTGGGCCAAGCTTCCTGCCATCCAGGACCTCTATACCAGGCGGTGTCAGAGGAAGGCCCTAAAAATTGAAGGCCCTAAAGACTCCAGTCACCCTAGTCATAGACTGTTCTCTCTACTACCGCACGACAAGCGGTACCGGTGCGCCAAGTCTAGGTCCAAAAGGCTTCTTAACAGTTTCTACCCCCAAGCCGTGAGACTCCTGAACAGCTAATCATGGCTACCTGGACTACTTGCATTGTCGTCGTCCCCCCCCCCCCCCTTTTAAGCTGCTGCTACTCTCTGTTTATTAACTATGCATAGTCACTTTAACTATGCCTACATGTACATATTACCTCAATTACCTCGACTAACCTGTGCCCCCACACATTGACTCTGTACCGATACCCCCTGTATATAGCCTAGCTACTGTTATTTTACTGCTGCTCTTTAATTATCATTATTATTTATTTTTACTTATCTATTTTTTACTTAACACATATTTTTCTTAAAACTGCATTGTTGGTTAAGGGCTTGTAAGTAAGCATTTCACTGTAAGGTCTACACCTGTTGTATTCGGCGCATGTGGCAAATACAATTTGATTTGATTTTACTAAAGCAGAAGTAGGGAATGTTTAAGAGTGGGGTTGACTTTTCTGGAAATCAGAACATGTTTTAGGACTTATTACAGACATGCAACTTCCACAATCAAGAGGGTGAGTAAAGAATTTAAAGATGTAATATTTTTCTCTAAATGAGGGAGCTTTATATGTTACAGGTCAATGGAATTCTGGAATGTATTACTATACAGTATGTCTGGAAATGGAAAAAATAATGCCATGCATAGAAGGGATTCAGATTTATATGAATCAACTCACAGTTTGTGCAGTGCCCTATAATGAAAATGGTTCCTTCTCTATCGTCCCTGTCCCATGGCTCTTTAGGAGAGCCACCATGATAGCGAGTCAGCTGTACTTGTGTGTGATTCTGCTGTGGGGACAGACCATGGGGGTTGCAGGTTCCTGTGATCTGGACAAGACGTTAGTCCGCTGACGTTATCAACAATCCTATGAGATTGATGACTTGTTTCAAAGCTGGAGAACTAGAGCTGCATAATGATGATCTGAGTGGTGTACCTTCTGACCTGAGCTAAGCTCTGAAGAATCTACCCTCACCTAGAGGCACATAAACTAATCTTAAGCAGCGTCACTGTCTCCTCTGCTTTCCTCGCCGCGCTGATCAACGTCCTACCCCGCTCCAAAGTGGATGAGATTGAGTCAACTCTGGAGGGTCTACAATACTTTAATTCAGCTGTCACGGCCATGTGGCTGGATAATGTTACAGTTCCCTCCTCTCTCCTCCAGCCCTCCATCCAGTCCCTCCACCACTGGCTACTAGGCCCACTTCAGAGCCTGGGGCTTGCCTGCTCAGTCCTGGCTGAGATCCTGTGCTACTTCGCTGAGCTGCTGCGAAGCCTGACCCACCTGGACCTGTCTGAGAACCAGCTATCTGAGACCAGCTTCCGAGGGCTCACTCAATGCAATATGACCTGGAACTTGACCTCCATTAATCTGAGTCACAACCTCTTCAGCTCCTTCCAGATCATGTGTGTACTGCTGAAATTTGCCCCACGCCACCCAGATCTCAGTGCTTCCAGGAGTGGAAGAGCCTCCGGCGGCTGAACCTATCCCACACCTGCATCACAAGGCTGGCCCTTGGCTGCCGACCACCCTGGAGGTGCTGGATCTGAGCGGTAATGCTCTGGAGCAGTTTGACAGCCCTCCCCAGGGCCTGAAGGAGCTCTACCTCTCACACAACCGCCTCCTCAGTCTCCCCTCTCTGGAGAAGCTGGCCGGGTTACAGGTCTCAAGGGTGGACGGGACCAGCCTCCTGAATGGGACTGGTACTGAGGTGAACCAGGGGGTCCTGGAGAAGCTCAATGTCATCCACGCAGGAGAGAACCCCTATCAGTGTGACTGCAGTCTGAGAGAGACTCTAGAGTTCCTGAAAGCACACACTGAGGCGGTGGATTCAGTGGAGGATTGGCCCGAAGGGTTTGTGTGTGACACCCTACTGTCTCTCCAGGGGACTCTGCTGAACAACGTTTCCTTTCCTGAGGAAGGACTCTAAGGGAGGTAGTGTTTCATCCCTGTCCTATGAGATACATGTTTGTTTTCTGTCCTGCCTCATTGTATGGCTGTCATGTTTCCTTCCTTAGATAGATTGATGTATATGGGTCATATTGGTCACGTCCTCTCTCTTATTTCAACATAAGGGATTCATTAACTAGTGACACAGTGACAGTTATGAAGTTCACCAGCCAACTATCACCTAATACCCCCATTGTATTATTATACCCATCTGCAATACACTGTTTTTAACATACTAAAATGTTTTTTTTTGCCTCTGAGTGATTACAGTCATAATAAAATGAATCTAAACATTCAATTCAGACTGCTGTGAGTTGTATTTTTTCGGAGACAACCATCCTAGGCTAGAGAACAGACAACTTCTTTATTGGAAAAGTCTATATGAAGGTGACCTCTGTTTTGAACTCATACCCGCATCCTGAGTAACTGTACACCCCATTACCTTGACCAGTGAAAGTGGAGTCTGGGCCATAAATATTTCAGGCCAGTGTAATCAAACCCAGATGAACTCGCTGATTCTGGACGGTATGGCTTCAAACTGCTTTCTCTGAGGACATGAACGCACCTGTAAGTACCTCGCTACTGTCCAATGTATGTGTTATAAAGGGGAAATTAGTGTTAATGATCGATCTCTTTCATAATGTTGTGTTTCATGGAACGATGGTGTCCAAAGGTAACCAAGCATGAGATCCGGGACAGTATTCAGGAGTTTCGAACAAAAATTATGTCACAAGGGGACCATCGAGAGGAGGATGTCCATAGGCTGGCAGAACTAACCCAGAACCTAAAGGTGAGATACAGTCTCTTTCCTGTAGAGAACAGCATATCTAGCTGTATCTGAAACAACAAATAAACTATGCCTCAATCTCTGCAATGTGTATTTAGAGTTGTGTTGATTTGGCAGGGACTGCATTCCCCAAAGACCCTAATACATATTGATAATAGTGACCACAACACTGACCACAACACGGACCACAGTGTGACCGTAGAGAGAAGGAAAGACCTGCAGGACCAGCTGAGACAGGAGGTGGACGAGCACATCAAAGGTAGTGTGTATGCAATGTGAGGACTGTAATAAGTACACAAGTGTGCTGTAGTTGTAAATATACTAGGATGAGCTGTAGTTCTAAATATGACCACCAAAATAGACTACATTTAAAAATAAACAAATATTTTACCTTTATTTAACTAGGCAAGTCAGTTAAGAACAAATTCTTATTTACAATGACGGCCTACACCGGCCAAACCCGGGCGATGCTGGGCCAATTGTGCCCCGCCCTATGGGACTCCCAATCACGGCCGGTTGTGATACAGCCTGGAATCGAACCAGGGGGTCTTTAGTGACACCTCAAGCACTGAGATGCAGTGCCTTAGACCGCTGCGCCACTCGGGAGCCCATGAAGCCTGCATGATGAGTGTTACAAATCCAGTTTTCCCTCATCAGTATTTGAAGTCTCTGTGATGTGACAACCACTACACTAGTCTCAGTGGAGGCTGGTGGGAGGAGCTATAGGAGGATGGGCTCATTGTAATGGCTGGAATGGAGTCAAACGTGGTTTCCATATGTTTGATACCGTTCCATTTATTCCATTCCAGCCATTACAATGACCCTGTCCTCCTATAACTCCTCCCATAAGCCTCCACTGGCTAGTCTACATCATTCACCCTCCCCATCTGGGGTCAAAGCACATAAGGACCAATAAACAACCAGTTTGCCTTTGTAAGCTATGCCTTTAATGAAAGTAATGAAATAATAACAATTCAAATAATAAGTGTGTGGGGTAGGTTTAGGGGTGTGTGGGGCATATAGGGGTGGGGTATCAGGGGCTATTTTTTTTTGTTAAATTTAGGCGAGCTGTACTACTTTTTGTTCTTACCCATCTCCAATTTGATATTCTCTATTTCCTCCTTGTGTTTCTGGTTAATTTCATTCATCAGTTTCTCCACCTCATGCCTTCCATTCTCCTCCATATCCAATGTTACTTGCTTCACCACCTCTTTTAGCACCACTCTCATTTGCTGCAATTCCTCCTTCATCTCCATCTTGATTTTTTTCTTTTCATCCTTGAGTTTGTGCTCAATGTCCATCTTTGTTTTCTGCAACTCCTCCCCTTTCAGCACCTCAATCTCCATCTTGATCTTTACCATTTCATCCATATGTAGACTTTACGGCGTGAAATGCTTGCTTACTAGCCCTTCCCAACGATGCAGAGTTAAAAAGAGGAATAAAATACATGAGGATAAAGTACCAGTACCAGATCAGTGTGCAGGGGTATGAGGTATTTGAGGTACATGAAGGCAGGGTAAAGTGACTAGGCATCCGGATAAATAATAGTAAGAGTAAAATAAAGAACAGAGTAGCAGCAGTATATGATGTGTTTAAAAGTGTGTATGTGTGTGTGTGTGTGTGTGTGTGTGTGTGTTTGTGTTGTGTCAGTATGTGTGTATGTAGCAGAGTAAACAGTATTATGTCTTGATTGGCTGGAGTCAGTGGCAATTTTTACCTCCTTTTCCATCCTCTCTACTTCCTCCCAACTCTTTTCTATTTCTTCCTTCTCGCTTTCTACTCCTTTCTACTCCTTTCTACTCCTTTCTGCAACTTTATCTCCTTCATCTCCACTTTCTCTTTCTCTTTTTGTATGTTGTCAATGAGCCCCAACAACATACCCCGGGTGTCTCCCTGTGCCTCCACAGGCACAGCCAGGCATACTCTCCACCTCCCTCTCTATATCTGTCCTACAGCTGTGTTGCTCCATTTTGAGGAGCTGTCTGGGAAAGGATTGTGTTAAAGAGATTATCTGGTATACTTTTGTATACTTTTTAGCAAGTAGTTCTGAAAGTAGCACTCACCAGCCAAAAGTGGTCCCTGAAAATGGTGTACTACAGGGTTCTTAAATTCCGGTCCTGGAGGGCCGAAACACCTCTGTTTTTCATCCTCTCCTTCTAATCAGGGGCTAATTCAGACCTGAGACACCAGGTGAGTGCAATTAACTACCAGGTAGAAATAAAAAACAGAACTGTTTCGGCCCTCCAGGACCGGAATTGAAGAACCCTGGTGTACTACATCACACATGTGCAGATATGTGCACCATGTCATTGCTCTCTCTTTCGCTCTGCTGAGTGTGCATCTTGCTAGCTATCACTCAAATGGTGAGGGGCTGAAACTCATTGGCTAGAACTTGAATTGCTATGGGGCTGGGCCACATGGAGGAAAGTTTCGGGAAAATGGTGCCGCACAGCTTCAGAAAACAGTCGCTTTCAAACTAGGGATTTCGTGGCTAATTGAGGTAAGACAGTAATTCTGCTCATTGATTATGCATGTATGAACTACACATTGACACATCCAGCCCAAAGCGGGGGGTTTAAGAAATACGTAGTAGTCGCCAAAGTTCCGGAGCATGTCTTTAATAGAAGGTCAGGTTGTGGTTCAGTTGGTACACATTCCCAGACCATAGGATTACTAGAATGGACATACATGGACCGGTGGCCATTTTGGGTGTACCACAGGAATTATGTGTTTAGTATTCAATACAACTTTATCAAGAACCAACTCAATTGACATTGGAATGTTCAATGATGTTCAATTTTGCTTATTTAAAGGCACAGAGTTCTCTTGTGCCACCCATAGAATTCGAAGTATTATTGCAATCCCATCGTAAATTGCCATGATCTGAGAGAATATGTCCATTCTAGTTGTTCTTATTGTATGCTCCAGGGATGGGCAACTTTGATGGGGGCCACAAAAAAAACTGAATGGCCTTTTTCTCATCATGAGGGGCTGCAGTGGCTCGTGGGTCTGCATACCCACATCCAAACACCAAGTTTGCTGCAATTCTACACATTTGGCGCAGAGAGAAGATTTATAACTTTTATAACTCATTTCATGCTATTTTACTCATTTTGCCATGGGGCGGAGAGAAAAATGAGCAGTTTTAGAGCTAATTTGCTGCAATTTCTACACATTTTGCCATAACATGGAGGCAAATGTTTGCAATTTTTATATGATAACTGATGATCAATAGGCCCCACCCCGATCGGTAATTCGACCTTGCTTACTAAAAGTTTAGATAGCAGGCTGCTAGACTAATTTACCAATCTATACAAATTTAGCTGACATGGACTAATTGAGTGACTTTTGATGCACAACCAAATTTCGAAATTGCACCTTGTGCATTCTATTATTCTAACTCTCAACAGTAAATTGAGACCCCGGCTGAGTTCCTTAAGGGATGGGCCGCCAGATGCCAATCCCTCTTCCAGACCATGGATTTTTAGGTGGTCGCCTGCTACACAGTAGTTGACATGGTAATTGATTGTTACATGCATATAATTAGAATTGTATTTCTGTGGTAGCAAGTTGATGGAATTATGGCAGTTACCATGGCAATTCATCAAACATTCCAAAAGGGCCTACAAAATATGGCCAAACGTGTTTGCTTATGTTTTTCTATTAGCAATGGCTTTTGACTTTGTAAAATAATGCTGTTTTCTCGATATTGGAAGTTGATATCTCACCAAGTGTCCAGCAGCAAATGTGATCAAGAAACGGAACTCATTTGTGCAACATTTGGATTGTTAGGTATGTTGGCATGGCAACGGAATTATGATGGGGAATTATGACCCAGAGTTCTGAATCTCAGAATTCTAGTAAATCCTGACAAAAATGGTGCCCTTCTTTTTCTCCACAATGACATTGATGGAGATACTAAAGCATTAACTACTGTTGGCTTAATTGCTAAATGTTCCAAAAATAACGGCTCATAATAATGGCCGGAACGGAGCAAATGGAATAGCATCAAACATTTGAAAACAATGATACCATTCCACTGATTCTGCTCCAGTCATTACATGAGTCCATTCTCCCCAATGAAGGTGCCACCAACCTCCTGTGCTGTACATACATGCTAAATGAACACAACTAGCCTACATAATGAACAGCCATTGAACCTACACTATACCAGTTTTGCTCAGGATTTGTACCTGATTCATCTAATCTTCTCGATTGATGATTGTGATCCGTTATATTGGGCGTTAAGCCTACAGAATAGAATAGTGTAGAGATAATAATAATATGCCATTTAGCAGACGCTTTTATCCAAAGCGACTTACAGTCATGCGTGCATACATTTTTTGTGTGTATGGGTGGTCCCGGGGATTGAACCCACTACCTTGGCGTTACAAGCGCCGTGCTCTACCAGCTGAGCTACAGAGGACCACAGGCCTATGTCGCTATGAACTGTGTGTCTTTCCTTTTTCACAGAGGGGAGAGTAAGTGTGGAGAAGATGCAGGAGAGAGTGGGTACGATCCGGCAGCTAAAGGAAGCCCTGAGACAGGAGAAGGAGGAGAAACAGGAGAGCAGTGAGAAATCTGACCACTCAGAACAGGTACCAGGAATACTCTACTGTTCTGTGAGGTTGAGAAGAACAAAGTGATCTGTCCCTAATGTGCAAATATCTTCCTATGACAACTTGAGGACTGGTACCAGGTGCAGTACAACAGAGCACAGGAGCGGAGGAGGAAGATCAAAGAGGATCATGGGAGAGTGATACAGGAGGAGGTGGAGAAGATGGAAAGAGAGCTGGGGAAGGAGCAGGTGACTGGTTTTAACACTTGAGATTGATTTAATCATGATATTCCTCACATCTTAGACACTCAAACGGTAAAATGTCCTGCCTCCATAAATCTACCCCTATGATCAGACTGAGGGCACCCAGAGGGAGCTGTTGGTCCTGGGCAGAGAGAGACAGGTCCTGGTTCTACAGATGGAGGCCCTGCGCACTGAGGCCTTGGAGGCCGAGAGAGACCTGGAGACCCAGTACCACAGACACCAGCATGAGCTGTACTCTCTTAGGGAGGAGAGTCTGCAGGTAGAGCCTTTATCTGGAGGGTCATCTGGGTAGCTATAGATTCAGAAAACCAAAGCAGTTGCAGTGCATGCTTGCTCTGTCTTCATCCAGCCACCCTGTATTTGTTGTTACATTCAGCACTGCCATTCGTTGAACCAACCCTGCCTATCTTACCCATTTTTGCCAGTATCACACCTTTCACCACCATGCTAAACTCTGTCTCCCCACCCTCAATCCCTTATTAGGTGTTCCGGGTTTTCCGCCAGGTGAGTGAGGAGCAGAGGAGGGTGTCAGAGGGCAGGTACAGGACTCTCCTGCTGGAGGCCATACAGGACGCAGTCTACCTGTCCTCTCAGAACCAACAGCTCCAAGCAGACAACAAACAGCTCCGCAAAGGTGAGTTACACACCTGGATAACACTTGTATAACCTAACTGTAACATATTTCTGTCTTAGTATAGGTAGTTTAGATCCTACTTTGTTGAGAAAAAACGATTTTAAATCACTTGAAATAATGGTGTATTTCATTGCCATTGCATACCTTGAATCAGATTTTTCTTTCTCTCCTTCCTCCATAGCATTGGCAGAGCTTAAGGACATTATGTGTGTGCGGGGTGACCTCAAGGGACAAAGGGTATCCCAGTAACAGTGAGAGAATGGGGAAATATGTTTATCTTATGAATTTATGGCATTTTATTTCAGATAGAAAACACCAAAGAAATTAAATAGAAACAACGATTTTGAAATATTTCACTTTATTATATAGTATTGCATAAACACTTTCTGTACCATACTGTACCCTTTGACGTTGGCAGAGGTAATGATAAATGCTAATAAAATGACCATACTGACAATCATAGCACCACTCTTAAGAAGTGTTGTGTAACCATGTAGAAATAATGGAGACTTATTACTCAAACCCAACTACCCATGATATATTGAAGAAAAGGCTTGAATGAATATGGCAGAATTGATTGACCTGGAAATCAAAGGCAAGTGAAACGAAGGCAGTACATTACACGTAACAGATAAACCAGTGACGGTGTGATGAAGGGCTCTGTAAGTCTCAGCTAAAGTGCAGCTTCGATTGCTTAATCAACGATCAAATTAGAAACTTCAAATAACTCAAACTAAATGGACCATTTGGGACATTAAATGAAAAATACTGTATATGAATCACTAAAATAAAAATGCATTTCAAAAGGGAAAAGAAAACACACTCCAACCAAAAAACGTTCCAACCTTAATGTCAACGCATCATCTGGTAAACAGTGCTACCAGAGATTGTGGTGTTGCGGTGGAATGGGAGTCAGTTAGCAGGGGTCCACTGTACCCAATACAGGTAGGTATAGGCAGAATTCTGCTACCTGTAGTACAGATAGGCTGCCAGGCCAATCATAGAGGTAGGTAACAGGAAGAGGGGGGTGAGCTGCAGGCCCAGCAGGGCCCAGGAGAGCAGAGCATTGACCAGCATAGAGCAAGAGATGACAAACAGCCTGGTGATGCCGCTGCCATGCTTTAGCACTATTGACATCAGCAGCCCGTTAGCTGCCTGCCCCGCCACAATGGCCCACACCGCCCCTGAGTAACCCTCCAGGAAACCCTGTTCTCCCCCCATGCTGGAGAGGTGGGAGACCAAGTTGATGGCCACTCCAAACACGTACAGGTACACGTTCTGCAGGCTGAGGGGTAGTCGCTGGCTCTTCAGCACCCGTTCTGTGTAGACGGCCGCCAGCCCTGAGATGAAGCAGTAAACCAGCACTAGAACTAGGCCCCAGGCTGTAATGTGAAGCCTGGAACTCGCCTGGTCCTCAGTTTGCCCTGAGTCCTCCAGATCCAGGCTGCTGTAGCTGTGACACACCCCGGCCCCCATGAGGATCCCCAGGGCCAGCCACTGGGCGGACCGCAGCCTCTTCCCCAGGCAGGAGGTGTAGAGCAGGGCCGTGGAGGCGATCTTCAGGTTGCTGAGGACCTGGAAGGAGCTGGGGTCCATGTAGATCTGCATGAGGACCACCAGGTTGTTGTTGAAGGCGTAGAGTAAGGCTGGGACTGCGTAGGGGGCCACGAGGGCCAGGGGTGCGTGCAGGGCAGACAGGTCCCCAGTCAGGAGCAGAGTGGCCAGGGACACCAAAAGCTTGGTTAACTCTATCAGAACCACACAGGAGGAGGAGCTGAAGGGAACCTGCCCATCCACCTTGGTGAGGGCGATAAGGGGGGCATGGGAGCCATAGATCAGGACCATCAGTCCTAGGAGGACACCCCACCGGACCCCCTTCATGCACCGCCTCCTGTGACGGGATGGGGACCCGGACCCCACGGCATGGATCACAATCATTCTCAATACTGCATGTTATTCACACCCCGGAATAACTAGCATATGTAAATGTACAAATACAAAGACCCTCTAAATGCGCAACAAAAATGTTTTTAAAATCCCCCAAATTAGGCATAATCTATTCAACCATAAGATAATATTCTCAAGATATGTTCGTATTCTAAGCTGGTAAAAGTTATGTGTTTACAAAACATAAAAGCGCCAATGTCTTGCTGTGAACGTACTTGATTCAAAATCAATTAGATGGCTGCTGCACCAGGCAACTTTACTAAGGCAAGCAGTCAAATATCCCTGCAATGTAACCTTACACTCAAAGTACGGAACCTTATCACCTTTTACACACTTTATAATCCGATTCAGTGATCAGCAGAGAGAGAATAACAGATGTTCCCAGGGCACTGAATGTAGATTTACCCTTTAACCTTTGCACAAAACCCAAAGCAAACCCAGGCTTTCACACTGACTCCCAATGGACACATCAAAATCCAGTTAAATCCTAATATTCTTTGTGCTGTATTCACAAGAGAGTTTTGAGCCTCTGAAAAGAGAGCATCCACAGAAGTGGTGGTTGTGTCCTTAACCTCAGGCAGTTAGAAGATGAAGCCTAGGCCTGGTTCTTCCCATTACTTTGGTCCTTTTCTAAACGAACTCATATAGTCTTTCAGAGTGCTTTCGATGTTGGGCACCTGATAGCTCTGTGCAGCGTAGATGCCTGTGAATGTTCCTAGTAGCACTCCTATGATAGCTGAGGAGCGGAGCTTGGCCACCATATACCCAGCCAGGAAACCCTTCAAAAAGGGAGATGCCAGCACAGAGCCCCCCTGGGAGAGAACAGGAAACACCAGTCAGGACAAAGTACGCACACAATAAACAGAATATATGGCATGCTTTTATGACTCTCATTTAATAAGCAATCATTAGTTGATTCTTCTATGACTGACTGTTTCAGGACTGACTTGAGGTTCATGGTTTGTCTGCTGTCCTGTTTCATAAGGTGACATTTCACCTACTTTCTAGCATTGGATAACAACATACTGTACCTGTGGAATTCCTGTTGCAAATTCGGTCTCCACACGTTTCTGGATCTCTTCCAGTTGATTCTTGAGCTGGTTGAGATCCTTCATCTGCTTGAAAGGATCCTAAAACAAATGCAAGTCAGTTACACTGACTGGCAATCAATGAGCTTAGGTAACACTTCCTGAGGAGCCTGTCGATTTCTGTCACTGCCACTTTCTGTCAGTTAACGCATTCTATTCAGTCTATGCATGCATATGACTGTGACCAGGGGTGTATTCATTACGCCGATTATGTTGCAAAACGTTTTGTAACAGAAACCGTTTACTCCAAGAGTTTCTATTGGACAAATTCAGGTAGGTCCCTCCCCGTTTCGTTCCGTTTGGTTCTTAAACTTCTTCTTCGATTGGGTTTACCGGCAGTTGGCATCCAATGTTAATGGTGCATTACCGCCACCAGCTGGACAGGGTATTGAATAAGAAACTAAAAAACCATTCCGGGAAGGGGGGAAAACGACATCATACAAAATGAAACACGTCAACTAACAAAACCCATCCCACTTCTTCAATCACAGTCCACTCCTAAATACATCCTTACACAGGCTCAGGGGCCTGCGATGGCGGAACATTCACCGACCCAAAAAACTTTCAGCTGCATTCACAATGATTCCAATATTCTTAGACTTCTTCTCTGCTTGTGCTGTACAGTTTATGACCATTGCAATAAATAATACAAAGTCCACATTTTAGCATGTAGCATTTCACTATCCCTAGGTTGATGAGAAATCTTCACTGGTCGTTGTGGCTCTACTCCCATTGTTTAATCCCCGCCTCCAGATAGGAGACAGGCTGGACACCCCTTACCCTTGCCACCCCATTCTCCTTCACCCTAACAGGGCACTCCAGGAATTCAGGAGCATGTCCACCTCCACAGTTGCAGAATTTCACTTCATCTGGCATACGATACTCTTCCCTTCTGCACACACTTGACACATGACCAAATCTTTTACATTTATGACACTGAAGGGGCTTGTGCACAAAAGCTCTTCCTTTATATGAGAATGGAGAGACTTCATCAAAGAACAGTAGCATGGATGAAGTTAATTTATTTTCTTCATCCACCATACAGGTCAGTTGACGTGCACCAACCACTTCATCGATGTCTTCATTAATGTTCCCTGCCTTTATTTCTTGCGCCACCCCAGAAATAACCCCCTTGATAGTAGTGGTGCACGACTCCAGGATTTTTGGAGTCGACTCAGACTCCTGTGATTGGAGTCGACTCTTGCTTGACTCCCAAAACGGACGCGCACACACCACCTCATTATTGCAGAATCCTACTAGGAAGAATAGCTTTGTGTTCTAGAGGACTGACATGAGCATGATGCTGCCCATTTGCCTAGAAAGGCCTATTTTGTTTGAATATAGAAGGTGATGTGTAGGAACTATAATATTTCAGTGATATTTCTGCTGTGTGCAGCCTTGATTGATCCCATGGGATGATGCGGCACACTACGCTGATAAACCTATTATTTTCCATGTTATAGCCCTTTTCGGATGGGTATTACTAGGGATGATGGTTGTCATTATTATCCAAGCATGTGCGTTATTCCAGATGACAATTCACACAGGATTCGTTTTTTTCCAAATTGCCCCCTGTAATTTTTAATTTCTTCAAATTGAATGGACTCTTATAATATAATAATATGCCATTTAGCAGACGCTTTTATCTAAAGCGACTTAGTCATGTGTGCATAATTTTTTTTAAACGTATGATTGGTCCCGGGGATCGAACCCACTACCCTGGCGTTACAAGCGCCATGCTCTACCAATTGAGCTACAGAGGACCTTATGATGGAAGCCTGGACGTTTTTATTGTAGGCGTGAAGATATTTCAATGTCATGTCTAGACGATAACAGGCTACACTGATAACTCATGCTTGGCTCACAAATACATAGGTCTTCCCATAATATTTAAATTGATGAAGTGTGATCATAACCATTATTTTAACGTTCTTCCTAATAACAATGCCCCCCATCCTGCTGATTTGAGCTACTGAACCGTATTTGCAGTTGACTGTGTTTATGGATGAGAAAGTGAACTTGCCATTTCCAAAATGTTTAGCTGGGATGCTGCTTTACGATCTATTGCCTAAAACAGGGCTCTCCAACCCTGTTCGTTGAGCGCTACCATCCTGTAGGTTTTCACTCCAACCCTAATCTAGCGTATCTGATTCAATAATTAGCTGGTTGATAAAGTGAATCAGGTTAGCTGCAACTGGGGTTGGAGCGAAAACCTACAGAAAGGTAGCTCTCCAGGAACATCATCAACAGCCAGCCAGGGTTTCATTAAATAAGCTATAGGCAATACTTGGTATTGCACATTTAGGCGTAATTAAACTGATGCATTTGGCTTTGTTCAACTTCAATTCACTGGTACTATGAAGAATAGCCATACTCATTGATAGCCTAATATATACTTTAATATACTTTTGGTGAATTTCCGAGGCATTGCTAGATACAGATTACCAAGATATAGCCTATGCGCACGGTTCTGACTGTCTCTGCCTGCCCCGATCCTCTCTCTCCCTCGACTGCTCCTCTTTCTCTTCGCTATGAAAAACACTAGTGTGTGTTTGGTCTTCGGTCTGTTGCGTGTAGAATAGCTCAGCCTACTCATTGATAGCCCCTACTTTAGTGAACTTATTCAAGACATTGCAAGCCGCGAAATACAGCATTGCGATAGCCTATTACTGATGCACAGTTCTGACTGTCTGCCTGGTGGCCGAGGCTGTGCCTCTCCCATCTCTCCCTCTTTCTTTTAATTTATTTTACCCTTATTTTACCAGGTAAATTGACTGAGAACACATTCTCAATTACAGCAACGACCTGGGGAATAGCTTCAGGGAAGAGGAGGGGGGATGAATGAGCCAATTGGAAGCTGGGGATGATTAGGGGGCCATGATGGTATGAGGGCCAGATTGGGAATTTAGCCAGTGAAAGATGCGAGAGTTTGTGTTCTCGAAGTAGACTACGGAAAATAGTTTCCTCCACTGCAAAAATACTGAAGCTTTGGAGTCGAGTCCTGGCGGAATCTAAGCTTGACACCCAGAAATGGAGTCGACTCCCCACCACTACTTGATAGGCCCCCTGCTACGAAAATCCACACAGGAAACATTCCACCGATATCTTTGAGTCTTAAAATACGCATCTTCTGCCCCGCAGACACACACAAAATGTAAACAACACCACTTATTGTGACTCACCAACTCCACACTTTCCTCTCGAGACTAAACGGATTTCCAAAGTAGCATTGATCCAAAAACTTAACTCCGACTAAAAACGAGTCTAGTGGTTTCCTAACAGTTTTACATCTATTGTTTCCCTGTTTCTTCGCCACTGTAACCCACTCACTTTCTTTAGGATTAGCTTCATCCGACTCACTAGCAGTCTCACACAAAACCTCAGTTTACGCCATCTTCTCCTTGGTTCTTAAACGGTTTCCGTAATGAATAACGTTACAACAAACCGTGCCTGTCTGGTTTTAAGTTAAAGCGAATTGTTTTAGAGAAGATGACGAGATCATGCTATTCTTATATAGCTAGTTTTCTGACATAACACGTTAAAAAAAGATTGAAGCCAAAATAGACTACTCACCTTGTCACCCGCCATTTTTGTTTAAGTGAATGTGATCTACTCGTACGCCTAGGATGCACCGCCACCTCAGAACGATTACTTTAGCCTGGAAGACAATTTGCTTTTGGGTAAAGTTGCACTGATTGCAAGTCAGTTAGCTGTTTACCTCTCAATCATCAAGGCGGGATATGGAAAGGGAACACTGATCCTAGATCTGTGCTTATGGAAATGTCTTCTGCTTCCGGTTTGCTTTCACGTGTCTAAAACGTCCTCTCTGATTGGCCCTTGTTTGCTCATTCCTTCACTGGGTTGGTTGACAACCATTGTAACAGAGCGCTAGGACAAATCGAGTGCTTTTCTGGGCCCTTTGACAAAAAATGTTGCATTGATTTCAGGCAGAATATAGAAAAGTAGACAAATCCTAGGCAATATCGATTTTGACAGTTCTTCTGGGCAACAGAGGTAAGGTTTCAGCAAGGAGGCTTCTCTTTGGATAATGGGGGGGGGGGGGGGGGGGGCAGTGCAAATAGTCAGGGTAGCCATGATTAGCTGTTCAGGAGTCTTATGTCTTGGGGGTAGAAGCTGTTGAGAAGCCTTCTGGACCTAGACTAGGCGCTCCGGTACCGCTTGCCGTGCGGTAGTAGAGAGAACAGTCTATGACTAGGGTGGCTGGAGTCTTTGACAATTTTGAGGGCCTTCCTCTGACACCGCCTGGTATAGAGGTCCTGGATGGCAGGAAGCTTGGCCCCAATGATGTACTGGGCCGTACGCACTACCCTCTGTAGAGCCTTGCGGTCGGAGGCCGAGCAGTTGCCATACCAGGCGGTGATGCAACCAGTCAGGATGCTCTCTATGGTGCAGCTGTATAACTTTTTGAGGATCTGATGACCCATTACAAATCTTTTCAGTCTCCTGAGGGGGAATAGGCTTTGTCGTGCCCTCTTCACGACTGTCTTGGTGTGTTTGGGCCATGATAGTTTGTTGGTGATGTGGACGCCAAGGAACTTGAAGCTCTCAACCTGTTCCACTACAGCCCCGTCGATGAGAATGGGGGCGTGCTCAGTCCAATTTTTTTTCCTGTAGCCAACAATTATCTCCTTTGTCTTGGTCACGTTGAGGGAGAGGTTGTTATCCTGGCACCACACGGCCAGGTCTTTGACCTCCTCCCTATAGGCTGTCTCATTGTTGTCGGTGATCAGGCCTACCACTGTTGTGTCGTCGTCAAACTTAATGATGGTGTTGGAGTCGTGCCTGGCCATGCAGTCATGGGTGAACAGGGAGTACAGGAGGGGACTGAGCACGCACCCCTGAGGGGCCCCCGTGTTGAAGATCAGCGTGGCAGATGTGTTGTTACCTACCCTTACCACCTGGGGGCACCCCGTCAGGAAGTCCAGGATCCAGTTGCAGAGGGAGGTGTTTAGTCCCAGGATCCTTAGCTTAGTGATGAGCTTTGAGGGCACTATGGTGTTGAACGCTGAGCTGTAGTCAAT